GAATGTTGATGCAGCAGGAATCTCAATCATTTGGCTACGATCCCGGTGATTAATTAGGTACAAGTGTATAGCTAAACATGGGTATCAAATTTTTGTACTCATGTTAGGAACTTACATGATTCCTCACTCGGAAAGTTATCCACTTTTATGGTATTTTTGATTCTACACTCTTCATGTTACATTACTATTTCTTCCTTAAGGAATACAGTTGCCATTTTGTTAGGAACCTATCTTCTACAATGTTGGCATATCATGTAAAAGATTTGGCCCTTCAACGTTTGATATAACTTTTGCTCACTTTAAGATGACGTACAACGGCGTTCAACTCCTTTTTTATGTCAGGAAAAAATTACGCTGATCTTTCCCATATCTTCAAATTTGAGAATGGAGCAAAAATAATTGTGGACTAATAGCACACACAATATTGATAACGGAGTTCGGCCAATACTGCCTACGTCTCCGGGCTGCTGCAGATATTTTACTGAAAAGGGAAATATAAACAGTGTTTACAAAACACTCACAATCTCTCAAAATACTCACAACCACTCACAACCCACGACCCAACTACACCCAGAAAAATTAAGAGCTTCTCTCTCTCTCAATTTTCTTATGTGTTTATGCTTTCGTTGGATTCATAAAATGAACGGAGTGGCTTGCTATTTATAAGCACGGATTGTAGTGTGAACGCTCAAATCTCCAATTGAAGTAGTTTTTTCTTCTATAATTGTAATTTCAATGGAAAAATCGAAACGTACACCGGTACACCTCAATATTTGGTGTATGCATGGAAACAAGAGGGACAGATAGAGGAATTTTTTTTTTTTTTTAAAAAAAAGAAACTGATAAATCATAAATGTGACAAATGACATGATAGGAAATAAATCGATAGATAGAAAAATATGGTGAAAGTGATATAGAAGAGAAGACAGGTATATGAATATAATACCTCAATTTCAATGTGGCTTAAGATGTTTGTTGGTTTTAATGTGTAACCCTTAGACCCATTAAAAGAGTGTTAATCAATTCTTTAGAAAATTACATTACTCAGAAAATAGAAAGGATGCCATAAGTAGAGAATGAGAAAGCAGTAGTTAATAGGAGCAAGTGTGGAACTAGCTAAAAGGGTCTAAGATGTGTGTAAGCCTACTAAGGAAGCATAGGTACCACCCATGTTAAGCAGAGTATGATGCTTTCCTTGCTCTGAAATGACTCCATTTTCAACCACTGCAATTGAATCTGCATCCTTTATGGTGGATAACCTGTGGGCCACCACAATTGTGGTTCTGTCCACCGCCACTTGGTCAAGTGCATCCTGAACCACTCTTTCAGACTCAGCATCAAGTGCACTCGTGGCTTCATCCAGCAGTAATATTTTTGGACTCTTCACTATGGCTCTTGCAATTGCCACTCGCTGCTTCTGCCCACCAGATAGTTGAATCCCTCTCTCCCCTACTACTGTATCATAACCCTGCGTGTGATGTTTTTTCTAGAATTCAGAACCTTATATGGTGCTTAGATAGCTATTAGCTAGTTACTCAAAATTTTGGAACATAAAATTTTGTTGCACAAGTTTTAGGAATAGATTATGTTCCTTAAATACTGAATAATGTGTAGTTTACCTGTTGCAAACTGCTAATGAAATTGTGGGCATTTGCCAGTTCTGCTGCGGCTATAATTTCAGCTTCTGTTGCATTGCCACCTTTTCCATATGCAATATTGGCTCTGATGGTATCATTGAACAACACAGGCTCCTGGCTTACCAGACCCATCTGCTGCCTAAACCATTTAAGTTGTAGATTTTGGATTTCTGTTCCATCCAGTGTAATCTGACCTGAATCTGGGTCGTAAAATCTTTGCAACAATGAGATTATTGTTGACTTTCCACTTCCACTTTCGCCTGCTAGAGCAACTGTCTGATTTTCATCAGGATAATCAAACTCTTAGATTTTCCCTTAAGAAAGACCTAGATGGTTGTTTGAAAAAATCATTATTCCTATGAGAATTATGCATCAAACTTATGTATCAGTTGGTAAGTTACCTCTCCTGCATGAATGGTCAAGGAAAAATCTCTGAATACAAGAACATTAGGCCTGGTTGGATACTTGAAAGTAACATGGTGGAACCCAATCTCTCCCTTCACCTCTTGCAGCGTCATTCCGGACTCATTACTGGGGTCTATTTTTGATTTCTGGTCAAGAATAGCAAATATAGAAGCAACTGAACTTTTTGCTTTTGTCGCACCTGGGGCCATGAAGCCAGATTGTGACATTGCTACAGCTGCCATCGTGAGAGTGAAAAATACCTGAAAAATTAGAAAATGAATTGTTCAATGCTAGTAGAATGTGACGCTTAGCTCTTAAGTTATCTATTTGGTTTTATTAAAAAAACACTTTTAATTTGAGAATTGAGATATTATTCGCTTATGCTTTATCAGCAACAGTTGAGATAAGTAGAAACTAGAAAAGCTGTATGACATGGTGACAAGAATATGACTAACTTACACGGAAAACATCTGAGATTGATGTTTTGCCATTCTCAACAAGTTGAGCTCCAGCATAGAAACTGCATGCATTAACAGAGAACACAAAGAAGAGTGATAACCCGAAACTTGCTCCACCGACTAAACCTTGCCTTATACCTGCCTGGATGGGTCCTAAACATTTCTTCTGGTATAACTCCATCACCTTCCCTTCAGCACAGAAAGCTGCAACCGTTCTGATATTCCCTACAGCGTCATTCGCTACTTGACTTGCTTCCTCATATTGTTTCTGTTCAACATATAGAGCACAGTAAACATTGGCCAAATGGACTAATAGTACTAATCAAACATATTAACAAAATTCGTTCCCTACTTCATCATTCCCATCACTTCCATTGGATTTACCTTTGGATCTAAGCATGGTGAAACTAAAACATTTCCGCAAAATCCACATGCAATCAAGTGGCTTTGCTGAATGGTTGCCTTTTCTTGTCTCCACAGGTTATTCATGTACCATTTTCCATACAGATTAGGTGTTAGAAATTCATCTGATTAGTGATTAGTTTCCGTTTGGGTTATATTTAGATCCAAAGTTTCTTGTCACCCTTTTCCCACTGTCTTAAAATTAGATATTTTCACATGTTTTCGTTATAGTAGTTTGTACTTGGTAGTTTGATATGAGTTACATACAAACCTTAGCATCAGTGATGAATCCCTGCATGGACCCCATTTGCACTTGTCCATTTACTAACAATAGAGGTAGCAAAACAACAATGATGAGAGAAAGCTGCCAGTTTGCCTCAAAGGAAATTACCAAGGCTGTAATTACTGTAGCAATATCTTGAACCAGCAAACCAAGTGCATCCCCAACAAAAGTTCGAATAGAAGCCACATCATTTGAGAGCCTTGCTCCAAGTAATCCACTTGAATGCTCAATTTTGTCAAACCAGCCTACTTCCATGTGAATAATTTTCTCAAAACACATTAGCCGGACCCTTTTTATCAACTTGGAACCAGCTACAGCAAAAAAATAGGACCTTATTGGATGAAATATGGACCCAACCACACCAAGGGCAAGGAATATTAATGCACAAAACTTTGAGTCTTTACGGAGTTGATCTGCAGGCTCAAAGAAAGTATTTATCATGTTGGAGATAAGAAGCCCCATAATGGGTAGTATTGCCCCAGTTACTGTGGCTGCTAGAGTCCCTAGGACTAACACTGGGATTTCAGGCTTGTTAAGATAAGCAAGGTGAAGAAATGAGACTTCTCGAGGTGAATGTGATACTGCTGGAGGAAGAGCTTCAGGCCCTCCTGATGTTTTCAAGAGATCAAGTGTATTTGGCATAGCATTTGATATTATGAGTGAGTGATTACTGCTTTTTCCTATTCCGGATGATTCCTGACTTAAAGATTGAGGGAAAGAAAACCGTTGGCTTGATTGTCGTTCAGAATCTACAAAGTTTTCTATTCTGCCTGAATCATTTTTACCATCTGTCTGCCTGTTAATTTCTTGCAATCTAATGAGCTGGCTATAAGTTCCATCAGGATCTTTTATGAGCTCAGCATGTATACCTAATCAGTTGAAAGATATAAGAATGCAATAATCAAAGATGCATATGTGAAGGAAAAATGATAGCATTTGTGTTAGTGCGCAAGAGAGAGAGAGAGACTTGAAAGAAAATTGCCATAATGAGTTTCATTTGTGTGGCAACATAGTATATCTACCATTTTCTACTACTCTTCCTTGATGAATAACAGCAATGCTATCAGCATTCCTTATTGTGTTAAGGCGGTGTGCTACAATGACAGTTGTTCGGTTTATCATGATTTTGTCTAGTGTTTCTTGCACCACTCTCTCAGACTCCGCATCAAGGGCACTTGTAGCTTCATCCAGGAGTAAAATTCTTGGATCTTTCAGAATTGCTCTTGCTATGGCGATTCTTTGCTTTTGACCCCCAGAGAGCTGTGTACCATGCTCGCCGACAATCGTGTCAAGTCCCTAAAATCATTATTTTACAAAATTCATGAGGTAATAAATATATAAATTATATAAGTCTTTATGATGTGAAATTTGAATTTATATTGTTGGAAAAGAAGAATATTGCAAATTTAAAAATTGAAATTGCGAGCTCACTTGTGGAAATCTATCTATGAATTTAGCCGCATTAGCAAGTTCAGTTGCTTCTCTGATTTCTTCATCTGTTGCCCCATCCTTACCATAGGCAATATTTTCTTTTATACTACAAGTAAAGAGAACTGGTTCTTGGTTAACAAGGCCAATTTTTTGTCTTATCCATTTCAACTGAAATTCTCTGAGGTTGATACCGTCAATGAGAACATCACCAGCTTGTGGATCATAAAATCTTTCAATCAAACTAATAACTGTTGATTTACCACTCCCACTTTTCCCTACCAAAGCCGCCGAAGTACCACTTGATATTGAAATTGAAAATCCATTGAATATCAATTCATCTGGTCTTGAAGGATAACTAAAGCAAACCTCCCTAAATTCTATATCTCCAGAAATATCATCTACCTGTCGACCAGCAGTGTCGTAAGCATCAATATCAGGCTCCCTGTTTATTGTTTCAAACATTTTTAAGGCAGCAGCCTGTCCTGCAGCAAATGCAGTTAAACTTGTAGAAACCTGCCCCAAAGACCTGGAAAATAAAATTAACATGGAAATGTGTATCAAATTTTCCTGCCAAGCAAAAGGTTGTAAGATATGATTGATGCATCACCAATATAGATAATAAAGCAGAAACTAACTTACATGGAAGCAAAAAATAGGGCCAAAAATATACTCATGACTTCACCTCCTGTATAGCCTTTCTCTAGTACCATCTTCCCTCCATACCATACAGCCAATGCATAACTGCTGTTGATAGATAAACGAATTGCACTAAGGCCTAATCCAGCAGCCACTCCGTCTTGTACTGCAGTCCTGTAAGCTTTGGCTAGGGATTGATTGTATTGAGCTATAGCTTGATTTTCGCCAGTAAATGATGCAATCTGAATCGAAGGGAAGAGTATCCATTATTTTATATACTACTTTTTTTTTTTTTTTTAATTCATGAGAATCAAATACAGTACTAATGAGGTTTAAAACATTCACACACCTTATTCAACTAATTGAGCTAGACCCCCTATTCAACTAATTGAGCTAGACCCTGTTAGTAACATGAAAAATAGCAACAATGAAAAGTTTCATTCTGAAGATTGACGTACAATTCGAATTGAACCAATTATCCGCTCTACTACAGTTGCTGCTTCAGAATAAGCTGCTTGTCCACGGGATGCCAACTTTGCAAAAGCAAAGCTCATTATGGAACCAGAGAGGGCAAGAGGTGGAATAGAAGATAGAAGGACCACGGTTAGAAGCCAACCCTTGATGAAGGCTATGACTATACCTCCTAAAAAACACGCCACACACTGTATGAATTTTCCTACCTGGTATACAGCACAAAGAAGAAAGAATAAGTTATTATTATTATTATTATTATTTATTATTTATTTATTTTTATCATAGATGAAGTAGTGATGATTTGGTACTTGTAGAATGTCCATTAATACCTTCTCTCCCATGGCTTCTTGAATAAGAACTGTGTCACCTGACATCCTTCCAACAACCTCACCAGTATTGGTTTCCTTATCAAAGAAGCTGATATCTTGCCTCAAAATTGCTTTGAGGTATAAACCTCTTATTCTCGCTGCTTGTCTCTCCCCGGTGGACACCCAACAAGCCACCTCTGAAATGGAGATGTGTGAATAACTATATTTTATTGTTATGCAAGGCTAAATTTTATTTGGAGTTATACAGTATGCATAATGAGCAGAAAATTTGGCATGCTTACGTAGAAATGCTGCCAGAAAGGCACCTGCACCCATTAGTGCAAACTTCAGAGACACCTGATCATGAAACAAAACATGATGGGTTATGACATAGAAATGAGAGGAATTTGAAATCCAAACTGTTCCTCTCTAACTTTGAATTAATTCTTATGAAATTAAGCTACTTTCATAAGATTGTTGAACATAAAATAAGCAGTTGGAAAAATGATAATACAGAAAAATATAGAATAAAAATTACTTTAACATTTGTTTGGTTCAACAATGAGACAGTAGATTGATTCATAATAAAGGGGTGCTAGATCGCTACCTTGGAAACTTCATGAACTACATCCGTGTTACCGTTTCCTCTAAAAGCATCAACTGCTTCTCCCATAACTATATTCGTTAAAGCCTTAGTCACTCCATTGGCAGCAGCACTTATTGTCCCAACAAACATCAGTAGATAATCCCAAGAGTCTGCAAATGAAAACAGTTTGTAAAAGGGTACTGTTTTGTTGCTTTTGTCCTTCAGCATGTTCTTGGAATCTTGCTGCTTCGCCATTTCTTGGGTACTTTCAGGACCTACAACTGGTGGATGACTGGTTGATTCTTATCCTGTTATCTCAGTTGAATTAGTATATCCAAAGCTGATTTTGACCACTATGTTACCCGAGGAAAACCTCTGTTGTTTACAACTTACAAACACCACTAGAAAGCAGCTGTTGAAGAGGATCACTGGTTTGAGTTAGCAACTTCCATTTAGTTTTTCCATCAAAATTCACAGCTGAAGTTATGATTCTTAGGCATCAAAACTGCAAATAAAAAAGCCACGTAAATTTGTAATTGGCTGACTTAACGAAATGCAACAATAGAGAGGATTGAAGATTGAAGAGTGAAAGAGAACAATAAAAATTAGCACGGATTAGAATAGTAGAGTGAGGAAGCTAAGATGCATGGCACACCTGCGAAAAACACCATGAGTGATCAAAGCACATTCAGAACCAAAAGATATGTTAATATTAATGAGAAGCAAAGGTCTTGAAGTAGAAGTGTTCTCAGAATAATGTTTAACTAGTGGTTAAGCAAAAGAACAAAATAGTATTAGATGCCCATTACTGTAATAGTATCTATTATATTTACTCAAATCATTTTCTTGTATTGTATAAATATTGGGTATATACCGGTGTGAAAGACATTTAATTTGTAACTAATTAATGCAGAAAAATTAGTTATTTAGGTGGTACAATATAAATAATTGTGAGCACTTTGTATTATAGGTGGTAAAAAAATAATAAAATTTGTGATATGGTTTCTCTTTTAAGAGAGACAGTTATCAGGATTCCGTATTTTGATATTCTGAGAGAAATTTCTACATTTTCTTTTCATATATTATAATTACCATATAGCCACGATTTATGTACGGTTTAGACTTTGAATGCACCATGGAACAAGAACTGTTTGAACAATTAAAATTGTGTTAAAATACATGCACATGCATTAATCTCTTATGGTACTTTCCCCCATAAATGTTCCACTAACTTAAACAGATGAGTTATATTCAAGAATTTTTCATCTGATATTTGCCACTTTTTATTGTTGGTCTCGTGGGTTCAGGACCTTAATTATTTGTTTTAAGGGTGCGGGGTAAAACGATATATAAAGATGATTTATATATTCTATAATTTGAGCATACATTACAAAATAAAAAATATGGTCACCTAATTTCATTAAAATTTGGTACGTTTTATTACATTAAGTAAATAGTGCAGTATTAACAAATCTCAAAAAGAATTCTAATGACCGACATTAATTCAATCATTTCCTACACTTTCAATTTAAAGGAAAGATCATTTGAGTCAATATCTTAAAAATCACCACACAAAAGGGTATAATGAAAATTAGGACAACGTTCTCTCTGTTTATTATTATTTAATAACCTTAACTTCTTTAAATAAAATAAAAATCAAATGTCTTTATAATCACTCTCAATTCATGAATGTAAAAGACTCATATAGTCAACTTAGTAGTATCTAATTAAAATAATATAAAGTTTTAAGTTTAAATTTTTTTGCGATCACTATACAATTATAAGTATAAAAGGAGAGAAAATGATAGAGGTTGATTGTTAATAAGTATTTAACTTTTGAGGGGATATTGAGCCTTTTTTATTAGACTTAATAATACTTAGATGAGTTACAATTTAAGAATGGAAGAGGTTTTGCGAAACCAAGAAAACAAAGTTTTTTTTTTTTTTTTTTTTTTTTTTAAAAATTATATTAATAGTGTATTGAAATTAAACTCTTAAAGTAATTATTATAAAATAGGTATGAATGTAGCTTCTTATATTTTTTATTTTCAATTTTCTTATGTATAAAAAATATAAAATATTTGTGTATTTAATTAGAATGAATTGATTGTGTAGTTTTTCTTTTTTAATATTGACATACAATTATAGATTGTCTTAAATGATAATATTGTTGGGTTGTATCATAATTATTTTGAAAATTATATATAAAATAAATTTTAATTGGTCGATAATGAAAAAATCTTTACATCGAGATTGCTTAAATACTAATCTAATTCTTTATACTAATCCTCTTAATCTTTTGTTTTTAAAGAAGGAATTGAATGAAAAGCATATAATGCTTTATTCATTTAGTAAGGGGAAATATTTGAAAGAGACTATAAAATTATTCATACAAATTAATTTTAATTTGGAAACTATTCATAAAGTTATTTGAAAGAGACTACAATTACTTTTAACTATTTATTTGGAAAAAAGGTCCACTAATAAATATTTATTTAATTTTACACTCTTTGGTTTAAATAATATTGACAAGGAAGTTTGAAGTGCGAATCATGTACATTTCTTAGATCACTAACCGTAATGACTTAAAAAGTAAAATACACTTGTTTTTGTAATATTTTATTTATTTATATTTTTTCATTTTAGAAGTTAAGACACATATTAAAACTGTAAGTATATTTTGTTTTACTTTTTAAAATTATTTTTGACTTGCTAACATGACTTCGATTGTTATTTTTCTTTTATTTATGATAAATGTGTACAATATTTAAGAATTAAGTAGAAGACAGAACATAACTAAAAAGATAGTTCTTATTTGTCATTGACTTATAAAAGGGTAAACAAGGAGTAATTTGTTTTCTTCGAAAGTGATCAAATGAAAAAATATAATGAGTAATAACAAATGGTAGATTCTTATAGTGGAATTTTTAACATAATTCCAATAAAACGTGATTGTGAAATTTGAGAGAAGTTCGTGGTGGTGGGGTGGGGATGTGATTAAGCAGTGAAAAAGCATACCCATACACATTATTCATTATGGACATTTGGATATTTTCTATCTAATTAGTGATTAAATAGTGAAAAGGCATATAAACAAAATAATTTTGGTTATTTTATATATATATATATATATATATATATATATATATTTTTTTTTTCTCTTTGCACCTCTTTTTTTTTTTTTTTTTTGCATTTTCTCTTTAAAAATGCTTTTCTTGAAAGTTACATTTCAGAATGTATTTTTAAGATATTTATAAATATTCTGGATATTATTTTATATAAATATACAATAAATTATTAAAATTAGCTTATAAAATGTAAATATTAATATATTTCAAAAATAATTTCTAAAATAAAAGAGTAAAGTAATGGGCACAAATCATAAAGAGTTGAAAAGAGAAAGACGTAAAGAATTGGAAAAATGTTTTTGCATTGCAACTTCAATTTGATTGATCGATGGCATTACGTAATGACTTTTTTTTTTGGGACAAGTGATTTGGCACTCATTATCTAAACTCACACCATGATATGGCTTTGAACAATGATGTGAGTGCACGTCTTCAATGTTTGTGGATTTATCAAGTCAATTCATGGCATTAAACTTTTGACAAAAAAGAGAAGGCACTAAATCTTTTTCTTTTGAGTAAACCTAGAAGATAGAGAATTGGATATAAGCACTCGCGATGTATGTATGAATTACTCCCTCTTATCTTTTTGAATTGTTGCTTATTATTTATTTATTTATTTTTTGATTTACTTATATCTTTACTCTTTACTTAACTTTTAATCTATACTTTTTTCATGAAAGTAATTGTATGTATTCATGTTGAGATACAAACAATTCTTACATCAATAAAATAAGAGAAAAAAATAACAACTTATAATTTCAATTTTAGAGAGGTCTTTTGATAATGATTAAAAACAAAACTGTGATAACTAAGTTTCAAAATAGATAATATTTCATCATTATAAAATATGCATGTATAATAAGTTTATAAAAATAAGCTTATAGAACAAATATCATACAATAACCCAATCAATTCATTCCGAAATTGAAATAAAGTAAAATTTATGAGAGGAACCATCCGACAACTTTCCACCGTGTTCCTGCCACGCACTCAGACAATTTTCTCTGGTCTCAAAGTCATCATACTCATTTCGACACAAAAAGACCGCATGTATTAAACACGCCACAAATGTTTCTAAAGGAGTTCTGGTATAGCCATATATACAACATAGGTTCAAAGGCTTATTGGGAAGATTCTGGGTTCTTGTGCAGAAGAGGTTTTGTTTTAACATGTTATAGATTCGTACATTAGCTTTGCTTTTGTTTTAAGTTTTAACATTTATGGATTTATGGGTTTGCACATATCTAAGAAAGATCTGTGTAAAAGTAAAACCAGAATGAGTAGCAAGCATTATTGGCAAAGTGGCCTTGCTAAGTTGCTATCTCAGAAATATCCTAGTCAGGAAAAATTTGGCAAGAGATTCTAAGTAAATATCAACACAAACTCAACTGGCAAATTGAACAGTTTTTCGACAGAAGAAAATAGAATAGTTGATTGATGCATGATATTTGTGACATTGGATTTGTTTTATTAGTGGAATATCAGCTCTTCAATAATGGTTGAGCCGATCAGCAGAAGTGCATTTTAAACATGGTTACTTACCTGCCTCCATAGTCAATATTACTCTCAAAATCTGTGGTTATAATGCATCTCAATGCATGAATAAGAATGTCACTAAAAATATCCAACAATTGATTGCATGCTCACAACTCACAAGACTGAATTCAACAAAGTTATGTTCACTGATCTTAATTCAAGTGGCCAACAAATTGATTCAAGACCAAAAGAATCTGTAAAATTTCTTTATGCTGTCTCTTTCCTAGAATAACAACAAATTTGCTCATTAAAATTTACATTCCAAGAGAGGACTCTAGACAATGGGTATTAAAAAAAAATTAAAACAATTTTGTTTCTTAGGTTAACTGTGGAAGGTATCAAGATAGAAGAAGTTTGCATCTTGTTCTGTTTTGCTCTAACAATTACAACTGGTTATTGTGCTACAAACACGAATGATCTTAAAGTTTTGAATGATCTCAGACAAGGGTTGGGAACCCTAAGCTTTTGAAATGGCTAGACAAGGGTGATGATCCTTGTGATCCTCCTTCATGGCCTTAGTAGAGAGTCTGACCCAGAGTCTCCCTCTAAAAAGCCATGCATGTGAACAGTTCCCTCTCCTCAAGTCCTAGGCTAGACACATGCCATAAGACATCACATGCATGCAATAATGCATCATACATCATACATGGTCAATCCACCATCATGATCAATATCATCCTCACATGAAAGTATAGACTAAATCATGTTTAAACATTCATATATATCATCACCAAGCATACATATGAATCAAGCACCAATTTTTCATCACATATCATACAAACATGACCCAACTTCAACATTAAAACATGCGTAAGCATCATATTCAATTATAACACCAAGCATACTCATGCCCGACGCAGGTCAGCTTGCGCCCGGCCTAAACCCAACCCGAGAGCTATAAGACTCTCCATGCCCTGCGTAGAATCACCACGCCTGGCGTCATTTAGACAGAGACTTCCAGGGATCTCCATGCCCAACGCACCCACCTTACACCCGACGCCATATTAGTAAAATACTATTCAAAGCCACTATCTGATATCGCGCCTGTCGTAGCTCTCCTCACACCCGACGTAATTCACCTAGAGGCTCCCATCTCAAG